GTCGGGCCATTACTAAGCCCAAGCAAGTGCCCTTCAAACATACGAGGCAAAACACACAGAGTGAGGGGGTCAACGGGCAACACACGGGGAGGGACTGTAAAGCAAAGGAATTCAACCCCGCTTGGATTTTCAGTGCAAGGCAACCATAATATCATGTGGCAATCGGTCGAGCATGTACATGGACGAATGACTGTCATAGGCTCATGCCTCATGATAGTTCAGCCAAGGTATGAAAACCTATGCGATGTTTGTGGCATTGACACTGAAACCATCTCAAAGAAAGGCGACCCCCCGTTATATGATTCATTATCGTTGGTGAAGGAATCTACCATGCTTAACCAGGTGGCAACGAATGACATGCTTTTCGAGCAGAGAAAGACGGAACGACCGCAACTCCACTCAGGCACAAGCCAGATAGGAAGGAAGCAAGCAAATCGACCTCCGACAACAGAACGCGAACCCACCTAAAGAATGTGGCGTGCCTTGGTGGCCGACTCTGAACATTTAAGTACCCGGCAACGCCGAAACAAGACGAACGTGCCGGAGAAGCAGATGACTTCCAACAATAGCATGTGGACCCACATATGAAAGGAGGCGCACCCAGGCAGTTGGCCCAAACAAAGTCCTACCTTGCGGCATCGAACAAACATGTAGACACATAGGATACTGGGCAGGGCGCAATAGGCGGGTTGTTACTGAGCTTTGGCAAGTGCCCTTCAAACAGGCGAGTCAAAACATGCAGAGCAAGGGGTAAACAAGCGAGAAACGGGTGGGGTTGGAAGGCCAAAGAATTCAACCCCGCCCGCATTTTCAATGCATAGCAACTACAATATCATGTGGCAGGCGAACGACCATATGCATGGACAAATGTCTGCCATGTTTAGTGATGTAGGGTGGAAACCCTAAGGCCGACCTTTCACGATTTGGAGGGGATCCCACGAATAACACGAGGGGAAACACGAGGGAAATCACGAGAGAGGCACTCAAATCAACGAGAACAATCACACATGTGCTAGATCCATTAACACAATGAGATCACAAGGTCTAAAGACAACAAAGGAAAGATACAAGTAGCTAGTTCTTCTCCAAGAGGAGGTCTTGAATCCACTAGGGGATCTTCTCCTAGGTGGAGGACTTGAATCCACTTAGGGGATCTTATCCTAGATGGAGGACTTGGCCTCCAATGGAGTAGGTATCAAGTGGATGAGAAATGCTCTATCTCTCAAATGAGCTAAACTATTGCTAACCCTAAAAAGAGGGAGGAGGAGGAGTATATATAGTCTAGGGTCACGAAAGGGTACATGGGCCTCGGCCCAACACGTTGTGCACAGACAAGTGTCGGACGTCCGACAGTTACCGGTAAAGCAAAAATGATGGAAATATATATGGAAATGATGGGGGAAAGCTAGATCTACCTGCAACACATCAAATCCGCGGATTAAATCCAACAAAACTTCATCACACCAACAAATCACAAAAAACAATTGGGGCTATTTTTGTGGGGATTTTCGAAATTTTGGGGATGAAATCAACAAAATTAGGCTAGAAAACAAGGGGTATGGGCTCGTGATCAACCAAGGCTCATGATACCAAGATGACGTTGGGTGGAAACCCTAAGGCCGATCCTTCACGATTTGGAGGGGATCCCACGAAGAACACGAGGAAAATCACGAGAGAGGCACTCAAATCAACAAGAACAATCACACATGTGCTAGATCCATGACCACAAAGAGATCACAAGGTCCAAAGACAACAAAGGAAAGATACAAGTAGCTAGTTCTTCTCCAAGAGGAGGTCTTGAATCCACTAGGGATCTTCTCCTAGGTGGAGGGCTTGAATCCACTTGGGGGATCTTATCCTAGATGGAGGACTTGGCCTCCAATGGAGTAGGTATCAAGTGGATGAGCAATGCTCTATCTCTCAAATGAGCTAAACTATTGCTAACCCTAAAAAGAGGGAGGAGGAGGAGTATATATAGTCTAGGGTCACGAAAGGGTACATGGGCCTCGGCCCAACACGTTGTGCACAGATAGGTATCGGACCTCCAGCAGTTACCTGATGTCCGACAGTTACCGGTCGTCCGGTGTCTTGCGGGGGTTCGGTAAAAGTGTCGGATTTCCGACGTTTTGGCTCTGATGGGCGTCTATCGGATTTCTGGTCGAGGTCGGACATCCGGTGCGTCGGTCGTCTGGTGGCCTTCGGATTTCTGATGTTTTCATGCTGACTGGTGGCAACGGTCGTCCAGAGTGGCTCGGTTGTCCGGGCGCTGGGAGGTGTCGGTCGTCCGGTCCGCGTCGGACGTCCGACCGATGTAGCGTTCGCTGGTTGGGACTTGTCTGGCTGGCTAGTTCTCCCAGGCGTCGGGCGTCCAACAAGTACCGATCGTCCGGTGGTTGTAGCTTCCTGCTAGCTCTTCCTCTTGGTCCTTGTACTTGGTGTCCTCGTCGTCTTGTCCGTTGGGTGTAGCTGCTCCGTGGCTTTCCTCCAAGTACCTGATCACACATAGGGTCTCCGCTTGAGGTAGTAGCCATGGCTCATATGTAGAAAGTGGTAGTTTGGAGAGGAGCGAGTTCACCTTAGTTTCGATAGCCTTTGCTCGAGCTCTTGTCATTGGTTCAAGTGGTATCGTGGGATACGTAGGTAGGTCCATGGGGATGACCGTCGGATGCTCTGCATCATTTAGTCTCGGTACGAAAATCTATGCACCATTTGCAAAGTTGACATTAAAAATTGACTGGCGAAAGGCGGCCCCTTGCTATACGATTCATTGTCGTTGGTCAAGGACCCGTTCATGCTTAACCAAGTGGCATTGAATGTCGTGCTTGCCGAGCCGAGGAAAAAGGGACGACCACAACTCCACTCAGGCATGAACCAGATATAGGTAATAAGGAAGCAAAGCGACCTCAAGGAACAGTCGGGCACGGACAAAAGAAATAGACCCACCTACAAAAGGGGGCGTGCCCGGGCGGCCAGCTCAGAACAAAGCCAACCAACCACAACAGTCCTCCCTTGCCGAGGATGAGGGTAGAGGGATGGATCTCGTTGACATGTTCTGCTAATCAAACAACTTAATCTTGCATTTACTAAACAACTAACTTGCAATTACTAAAACAACATAAAACTGAGTTGTTGAAACAACTGAAAGTGAGTTAAAAGTCACTCACATCCCAGTAATTTTCTCTCGATGTCAACTGATTGAAAAAGCCAGAGAGGCGTCGTGTAGGGAAATCTTTTGCACGGCATGTCCCATCTTTGATGGAAATCGTGTATAACATTTAAAGCATCAATCGAATCGATTCAATACACCTCAAATATGATATCTCCAAATTGGTCAAACCTTAACCCGAGCCGTTAGGACGTACCTTGCTAGTCATCGAATCATTGGAGTCGGGAGCGAAGGACATTTCTCAATCATTTCAGAACACCATAGTTGCTGCGGCAGCAGATCTTCCCTACAAGCGAGATCGGCAACACATCACCGCGATTCGCCAAAGGCTTATTTTTATTGATCTGGAATCACAGTTACATCATCAGCTAGAACAACACGAATAAAATCTAGCTCCCAAGAATGGTTCCCCGGGCTGCTCTACTTACCACACCCGACCAAGTTTGTTAACAACAGAGTGACATCTTTAGTTTGCGGACCACGTTTGCCAAATTTCTGAACCCTAGATGTTTTCTTTTTCTTTTTGAACACAAGGAAGGAGCCGTCAAGCGCCACTTTTTCATTCAACTCATAGATAATGTAGAACATGAATTACATAGCCCCGAACCTGAAAGTTGAGAAGGGAGGGCAAGGTACATTGGCATGAGAAGAACGTGAACAACTAAAGACGGGTTCTACTCCCGAGTTGAGAACTTGATGAGCACAATTGTGAGCAATTCCTAGATATGTGATAAACATCATTAAGAGAATGAGAGACTTGAAAGAACTCGCTAATTGGCTGTCTGCATCTCCAGTTGATGTTGGTGTTATTGATATCTCTTGAAGCAGCCATCTTTGGTAATGAAAGATTGTCAGTGAGAAAAGAACCTTGTTGAAGCTGAAGCCAGCAAGAGATTTTAGCAGCAAATAGAAGTGCATAAACTTCAGCAATAAGAGGTGAAGAAACATCATGAGTAGAGGTTTGAATCATTATTCTTGAATCAGAATCGTCTTTGGGGAAGAGGATGTGAACACTAGTACCAGTAGCCGGATTGCCACCATACCCAAGCACATTCTTCTTATACCAAGAAGCATCTGAATATATTTTGGTACCTGAAATAGCCAAGTCAGATTTGAGGGTGGAGCCTTGCTGTACTTGTTCTTGCCATTGAGAGAGCATGGTTGTAGATTGCTGTACTTGCTCTTGTCCAGATGCTATTACCACTTTTTCTTTTACTTTACAAAATTCCAAATCACCGCTTTGGTCGGTGCAGCTAGTGGTGTCAGCCGGACGGCCACCTATGTGCCGATTCATCTCTTGATTCTCTTCTGCCGACTCCTGATGCAAATCGTGTGCATGAGGCAAAGGCCTAAGGGACAATGCAGCAATGCGTTATGAGGCTTTTGCCCAGAAGTTTGCAAGCACGATTTTAGTCTTGTTAATAGGAAAAACCATGACCATGAGAAGAAGAAAAGGATGCAAATGGTGTTGATGTAAAAAAATATATAAAATGGCAAAGCACATATGAAACGGTACATCTATTATTTGTCATCCTGGGTACACAAAGCACATGCAATCGATCTCGACAAAACTGAATCTGGTATAAGCATTCTACCATTTGAATCAACTGGGAGGTGCCAGTAGTAATCAGCGGCTGTTACACGCACGCATGTGGCAGTAAACCAATGTTGTTACAATCTTACACACACGCAGCAACGAATCAGTTAGCTACCGATTTCTGTATACCTTCTTCCGTGATGAAGAATCACCGCACCAACAACCAGATTTGTTGGCTGATGGTGAGATGGTAACAAACATCTACCAATTTGGCTCTTAACTTAAATGTGCTGTGCACTACGATCTCGATGCACCCCGTGAGTATCTCCACAAACTGGCTGCTACGACCAGTGCACCAGCCATGCCAGCCAAAATCTGCACAGTGGGCGAGAATTATCAAAATGATCGCATTTTGGGTGAAAATTTTAACTGAGAGAATTGCATGCCATGGTAAATACAATATCTAACCTTTGCATCTCTGCTAAATCCACCAGAACTCCAACTAACCACCGATATCAACGAATTCCAACAAGATGACTTAGGCATAAGAATTACTACCGTGTACTGTTTTTTACATGGGAAAGATATCACCCTTCGCAAGGCCATTTGCATGGCCTGTGGTGTTAAAGCTTCTCTAACTTTTACACGTCCCTCATCTTGAACCTGCCCAAAAAAGAAAGTAAGCACTCAACAACACGTCATTTCAAATATACAATTTAAACTAGAAGAAAGTAAGGCTGAAAAATATATGTTCTGGTGATGATCGGTAATGTCTGTAAAACATGAAGGCATGTTCCTCTGCTGATAATATGTTTTGTAAGCCAGCAAATAACAGGAGAAACATGAACTCAATAACAGATAGAAAGCTTCACACTACCATGAAGGTGGATCCAACATCTCCCGAATAAATCCTTGATTGATAGCTCCGCAGAATTCGATCCAACCAGTAATAATTTTCCTGCAGTTTCACAAGAAAAAAAACTGTAATATAAAGTGCCAAACCATATCAGCATTAATATTTACATAAAGATAACTCCCACTAAACCTGCAATCCGTTTTCATGCACTCTTTGTTCAATTCCTAGGATGGTCGTAAATATTAAAATGCCAAACCATATCAGGATAACAAGTACATAAAGAAAAACATCAACTAAACCTGCAATCCGTTTTCATGTGCTCTTTGTTCAATTTCTAGGATGGTCCATACATCTTCTTCAGAAGGGCCTTCTGTCTGTAGATATGATATCTCTTCCAGAACAAAATCAACCTGAAAAAATTCTGAGTGTCAACTCCGAACTGAAGCCTCTTATAACAAGACTACATAATTTTAACCAGAAAGTCAATAAATCATACAAGCCTAGATGACATGTCTGGATCGCATGAGAAATTCACACTTATGTCTCCACGAACATCTCCACTTCTAGAAGGTTTGTTGCCACCTAAGAAGACACCTACATTAACTGAGTAGACCTGCAAAACGAAAAATACATTATACGTACTAAACTCTAAATGCTGCAGTCCATGTTGGAAGGGAACAATCAATCCAGATGGTCTTTGCTTGCCCAGGATATTTTACCTGTCCATATTTGAAGCGGAGTACTTGCATGATTTTTGTTTCGAGAAGTTTACTTAAAAATCCGACATAGTGAATATCCTCCGTCTTCGCATAGAGCAGAATATAGTGTAAGATCAAGGTTAGGTTTTGAAATAAACTATTATAGTACTCCCTCCGTCCCAAAATTCTTGTCTTAGATTTGTGTAGATAGGAATGTATCTAATACTAAAACATGACTTGATACATCTGTATCTAGACAAATCTAAGACAAGAATTTTGGGACGGAGGGAGTATTATATTATTTCAAGGGCTGCATACCATCATTGTGCTCTTTAGAACCACTGGAAACCCTAGTTGGACGAAGCACTGAGCTTCAACCATAGGGCTGCGGACAACTTCTCTGCAACAACACAACAACAACAACAAAGCCTTTAGTCCCAAACAAGTTGGGGTAGGCTAGAGGTGAAACCCATAAGATCTCGCAACCAACTCATGGCTCTGGCACATGGATAGCAAGCTTCCACGCACCCCTGTCCATAGCTAGTTCTTTGGTGATACTCCAATCCTTCAGGTCTACTTGCCACCGTATCCGGATCAGGGTAAGATTACTAGTGTTTGGCAGGATAATTTCAGGAAAAGGAAAAAAGAAACTGTGTGGTTGCTACACCCTGCACGTGTGCAACTGATATAATTAGTGAAAGAAAGAAACAGCAGCAAACCTAATTATGGTTTCCGGAAACTTGAAGGGCAATCCCTTTAGATCCTCACGACTAAGTGGCTGAACTGTATCCTGTACCTTTGGTATCCCACCCTACAAAAAAGAAGAGTCCATCAGCATTACAAGGGTTTGGCATCTACTTTGTAACAATCAGAAGAGGAACAGAACATACCAGGTACTCCAAAATCAGTGGGATTGAGATGGCTGGGTCTATGTTTCCAACTACTACAACGGTAAAAGCTGATGGATCCTTGAAGCACATGTTGAAATATTCACATGCTCTGATTGGATTCACTTTCTTCAAATCACTTATTCTAATTGGCTGCATAATGGAGCTTGTAAATTTAAATTTAAATAAAGAAATAATAGGAAGAAAGCATTGGGAACTTATCAGTGTTCAGCTTATTAAGGTGTACCTTAAAGAAGTAGGAGTTCCCATAATTTATTTCCCGTGAACGATTTGCAAATGCAGTGTAAGGATCTCTTTCCTGAGCATAGATAGCTTCCTCCGCCATTTGCATGACTATTTTTACTTCTTCCTCCCTTGGCTCCACCTTTGTTGTAAATAGTTGGTAGACAAGCTGTATTTCAGAAGGCAGTCAAGGATAAGCATAGACCCACTTTTCACAGATACAAGTGATATGATTGCTATGTGTATAGTGCCGTCAGCATGTTCCTGTAAATTAGAACACACTTTATGCTCAATTAAGAATGCTTGAAGATAGGCAAACCTGTAAACCAATCTCAAGATCTGAAGGTGAACAATCGCCAGAAAATGATCTCATGTACGCCCCAACTTTTGTACCAACTTCAGCTCTCTTGCCAGCAAGCATGTCCATCAAGACAGAAGGTCTGTAGCCAAAAATACCAATTTCTCCTGCTATTGTCGAGCCCATTGTGCATGAAGTATATTCATCTTCAGATAATTCGGACAGGCCACCATAGGCAAACCCAGTAAAAACAACCTTCATATAGTTCAACATATAAAAAGAATGAAACACGTCCTTATCACAAAGTAACCAAAGGTAAATGATAACTGCAACAACAACAACAAAGCCTTTAGTCCCAGACAAGTTGGGGTAGGCTAGAGCTGAAACCCATACGGTCTCGAAACCAACTCATGGTTCTTGCATGTAGATAGCTAACTTCCACACACCCCTGTCCATGGCTAGTTCTTTGGTGATATTTCAGTCCTTCAGATCTCTGTTTACAGACTCCTCCCATGTCAAGTTTGGTCCACCCCGACCTCTCTTGACATTATCAGCACGCTTTAGCCGTCCGCTATGCACTTCTGGAGGCCTGCGCTGAATATGCCCAAACCATCTCAGATGATGTTGAACCAGCTTCTCTTTAATCAGTGCTGCCCCAACTCTATCCTGTATATCATCATTCCGGGCCCGATCCTTTCTTGTGTGGCCACACATCCATCTCAACATGCGCATCTCCGCTACACCCAACTGTTGAACATGTCGCCTTTAGTCGGCCAACACTCAACGCCATATAACATTGCGGGTCGAATCGCCATCCTATAGAACCTGTCTTTTAGCTTTTGTGGCACTCTCTTGTCACAAAGACTGCAAGAAGCTTGGCGCCACTTCATCCATCCAGCTTGCTCACATCTTCATTGATATCACTATCCTTCTACAACATTGACCCCAAATATCGAAAGGCGTCATTCGAGGTACCACCTGCCCAACAAGGCTAACCTCCTCCCCATGCCTAGTAGTACTGAAACTGCACCTCATGTAATCAGTTTTAGACTTTAGTTCTACTAAGCCTAAAACCTTTTGATTCCAAGGTTTGTCTCCCAACTTTCTATTAACCCCCATCTGACTATCATCGACTAGCATCACATCATCCGCAAAGAGCATACACCATGATGATAATGTTGTGACAAGTGTTCAAACAAGGGATGGCGACACTAATGACTTCTAATTTAAAATAGGACTGCACCAAGGGTCAGCCTTGAGCACTTATCTTTTTTGCTTTGGTGATGGATGAGGTCACAAGGGATGTATAAGGAGATGTCCTCCTTGATGAAGGTAATGTACTTCGTTGGGACTGTGTGTTTCTCCAAGGCCCACCAGATAACATTCTGTGGTATCTTATCGTAGGCCTTCTCTAAGTCAATGAACACCATATGCAGGTCCTTCTTTTGCTCCCTATATCTCTCCATAAGTTGTCGTACCAAGAAAATGGCCTCCATGGTCAACCTCCCAGGCATGAAACCAAACTGATTTTTGGTCACGCTTGTCATTCTTCTTAAGCGGTGCTCAAATACTCTCTCCCATAGCTTCATTGTATGGCTCATCAGCTTAATTCCAAGGTGATTAGTACAACTTTGAACATCCCCCTTGTTCTTGAAGATTGGTACTAATATACTCCGCCTCCATTCTTCTGGCGTCTTGTTTGCCTGAAAAATGAGGTTGAAAAGCTTAGTTAGCCATACTATCATTACGTCTCCGAGGCCTCTCCACACCTCAATGGGGATACAACCAGGGCCCAACGCCTTGCCACCTTTCATCCTTTTTAAAGCCTCACTGACCTCGGACTCCTAGATTCGCCGCACAAAACGTCTATTGGTATCATCAAAGGAGTCGTCCAGTTCAATGGTAGAGCCCTCATTCTCACCATCGAACAGCTTGTCAAAGTACTCCCGTCATCTATGCTTAATCTCCTCGTCCTTCCCCAGAAGCTAATTTGCTTCGTCCTTGATGCATTTGACTTGGTCGACATCTCTTGTCTTCCTCACTTGGATCTTGGCCATCTTATAGATGTTCCTTTCGCCTTCCTTCGTGTCTAAGCGCCAGTAGAGGTCCTCATACGCTCGACCCCTTGCTTCACTCAAAGCTCGCTTTGCGGCCTTGCCACCATTCATCCCTTTTAAAGCCTCCCTAACCTCAGACTCCTAGATTCGCCGCCCAAAACGTCTTTGGTATCATCAAAAGGAGTCGTCCAGTTCAATGGTAGAGCTCTCATTCTCACCATTGAACAGCTTGTCGAAGTACTCCCGTCATCCATGCTTAATCTCCTCGTCCTTCCCCAGAAGCTAATTTGCTTCGTCCTTGATGCATTTGACTTGGTCGACATCTCTTGTCTTCCTCGCTTGGATCTTGGCCATCTCATAGATGTTCCTTTCGCCTTCCTTCGTGTCCAAGCGCCAGTAGAGGTCCTTATATGCCCGGCCCCTTGCTTCACTCAAAGCTCGCTTTGCGGCCTTCTTTGCCACCTTGTACTTCTCTATGTTGACTGCACTCCTACCCAGATGCAGGTGTCTAAAACAATCTTTCTTCTCCTTAATAGCCTTCTGGACATCATCGTTCCACCAGGTATCTTTAGCTTCAGTTCTACTTTCCCTGGACATTCCAAACTCCTCTGAAGCCACCTTATGAATGCAAGTCGCCATCTTCATCCACATATTGTCTGCATCACCTCCTTCGTCCCAAGGGCCCTCCTTAATGACCCTCTCCTTGGAAGTATGAGTTGCCTCCCTCGTGAGCTTCCACCACTTCGTTCTAGCGACTTTGGCGCGCTTCACCCGCTAGACACGAATCCGAATGCGGAAGTCAGCCACCACAAGCTTATATTGAGAGGGACGACACTCTCTCCAGGTATCACCTAACAATCTAGGCAAGCACGGTTGTCTTCTTTTCTCGAGAGGACGAAACCAATCTGGCTAGAGTATTGACCACTACTAAAAGTCACTAGATGTGATTCTCTCTTTTTAAAGAGGGTGTTAGCTATGATGATGTCCTGGGCTAGAGTGAAGCTTGAGACATCTTCTCCTTGATTCCTGATGCCATATAGCCATAGCCAAAGCCCCTATGTCGCCATTGAGGTCTCCTCCTATGAAGAGCTTCTCGCCAATAGGTACACTCTTAACCATGTCCTCCAGACATTCCCAGAACTCCCTCTTGGTGTTCACATTATGGCCTACTTGCAGGGCATACGCGCTGATAACATTGAGAACCAAGTCCCAAACTACCAGCCGGACCAGAATAATCGGTCCCCATGCACCATGCAAAAAAACTATGACTCAAGCTTCCAATTGATAGCAATCACTAAATTAACTTTCTCAGTGCATGGTTAGTTCATCAAGGCCGAATGATTAAAGTGAGACAGAAAAACCAAAGGTCACAAATGTCTTGTTTCTACTATAGTACCCAGTATACATGAGATTGCGCAATACCTTCATGTCTGGCTGGCGATCAAGCACATCACGCTCTCGGACGCCCCTGACCAGCTAGTTTGGAGATGGACGGCCTCCGGTACTTACACTGCTAGCTCCTGCAGCCTAGCCACCTTCCAGGGATCCACAACTTCTCTTGGAAGCTCATCTGGAAGAATTGGGCGCCACCGCGGGTTAAGTTCTTCCATTGGTTGGCAGACCAGGATAGGTGTTGGACAACTGATCGCTTGGCTAGGCGTGGCCTCCAGCACCAACCTCGATGCCCACTATGCGACCAAGCCCCAGAGACGATGTGCCACCTCCTCCTTGAATGCCCCTTCTCCAGGCAGACTTGGCACAAAATCCTCTCCTGGCTACGGATGACCACCGCAGGACCAAGCCACGAAGATTCGCTCATGGACAGGTGGCTGCACGCCAGGCAAGACACGCCGACACCGATGCGCAAAGGCCTAGCTTCCATTGCCCTCCTGACGCCGTGGAATTATATGGAAGCAACGCAACGAATGCATCTTCGACGGCGCCCAGCCCTTGGTTCACGTCCTGGTCTCCAGGATCAAGGATGAAGCCCAGCAGTGGGCACGAGCTGGTGCCCGCGGCCTTCGCGTCGTCCGTCCTGCCGTCCACCTGGGATGTGCACTAGTTTCACTGATCCTCATTTGTACTTGACCTCCTAGGAGGATTGTATCGAAACTCTACCTTTTCAATGCAATGAAACACAAAGGTCCTTTGCGTTTTCTCGAGAGAAAAAAACTAATAGTACCCAGTACTGAGTTCATGCGCTTGCCTGGTAATCAACAACAATTACTCTTAACTGTTTTGTCCAAAACTATACTGAATGCTGAATTATATATCTTATAAGTATAATATGTCATTTATTTCTTTTATCATGTAGCAAAACACAAAAGAGCAAATATACTACTAAGTGTTGTACTATCTCTAGATCTTCAAACTAAAAGTAGCAGCTTTCAACTGTTATCTATGACTCACAAAATGGATGTGCCATAGGTAGGTCCCCAAATGCACAAAGTTAGTACTTTTGCAGTAAAAATTGTTCATAGGAATAACTGTTATCTATGAATCTCTTGTCTTCCAGCCGTAGGTGCGGTGCTGACAGAATCATTGAAAGCTACATTTTTCATATCACTCATTAGAGAACATATGTCAATGTTTTACCACTGAAAAGGAAAAATGTCAATACAGAACTTCTAAAAGTTTGGCAAATGAATTCAAGCTGGCAAGACAGCACCGCCTAGAAACATCCAAGGACAGAAATTTATCCTCGATCGCCATAACCCTATTATATTTAGAAGTTAGACCCGATCTTGATTCTAATTACACCATATATGTGGTTTAACCTAATAAACTTGCAATAAAACCTGATATGGAGAGGTATGCAGATCTATGGTATATGTGCCCAAGTATTGCTGGCCCATAAAGGCCCAGGCCCATGTGTGTGCTGACCTATAGGAGGAGGAGCACGACGCTGTCTTGGACAACAGCACCGCAACAACACATATCGACCAGGTTAGGCATCCCTCCTCTGCTCCACATGGTATCAGAGAGAGGGGCATAGGCGGCGGCGGCGATGGCGGGGTACAGCGGGGCGACGTGGCTGCGTGCGAGCTGGATACGGGGCGCATCTCCGGCAGGCGAGGCGCGGCGGCTTTGGCTGCACGTGGTGTGCGTTCGCCGGGATGGAGATTGAAAGAGAATGCTGCTGCTGTGTGGTATGTGCTACTACTGTGTGGTACTTGCTGCTGCGTACGTGCTGATTTTAGAGTAGGGGGGCAGAAAATAGTGGAGAAGAAGAGATTGGGTATGACTGGAGCTGCTGCTGCTGCTGCGAGCTGCTTCTGCTGATTGGAGAGGAAGGAGGTGGAAGAAGAGGTGGTGCTGGAGGCCGCTGACTAGCTGCTGCTGTCTTGGAGTGTAAAGTAGGAGCTGGTGGTGCCTGTGTTGTGCTGCTTCTGCTGGAGGTGTTGCTGCTGCGTGTGGCTATTCAAGGAGGAAGGCTAACTGCTGCGTGTGGCTGCCTGGGAAGATCGTAGGTAGTGAGGTTGTGGATATGTTCAACGACTTGGCAGAGACCATGACCGGAAGAGGACGCATGTGTTGGGCAGGTGTGAGCTGCGCGAGGCAGAGAAGGCGAAGGCGAATGGCGATGGTTTGCTGTGGACATGTGCAGCAAGTATGTGGCAGCAGGCGTGTGCTTTGCTGCTTTCCCCCTGCGAAGTGATGCATGAAGTAGAGAATACGGGTGAGACCGAACAGCATGATAGCCACGAGGATACAAGTCTTCCAAGTTTGGCTCATTTTATCTATTCTAATGAGGGCAACACTGAAAAGGCCACAATTGCTGCTCACATAAATGATCCGGAGTGGGTATTAGACTCTGGTGCATCTCAACATGTTGCAGGTGACTTCAGGGAATTTGAGTCATATGATCAGCACATTCCCTCTCCAAGTAACAGTATATGTACTGCTGACGGGAAATTGCGGCATATTAAGGGCATTGGGACAGTTCAATGTACCCCTACTATTAAGCTATCTTCGGTCCTACATGTGCCAGCTTTCCTGGTCAATCTGGTGTCTCTGAGTGCTCTAATCAACCATGTGGACTGTAGGATAACACCGACAGAGGAATGTGCTTGGTTCAGGACAGAGCCGACTGGAATGAGAATTGGGACTGGAATAAGGCATAGGGGACTGTGGAGGTACATGGACCGTGGGCTTGGTCAGATGGGCAGCTCAGTGTTTGCGGCGATTGTGGAAGAAAGAGTCATCGATGATGAAACATCACTGCAGAATGGGGCATGTATCCTTTGCTAAATGTACAAGTTGTTTCCTGCTGTAATGAATGTAGTAGATAAGAACAAGCTAAAACCTAAAATGTGAGTGTGTGAGTTTGCAGAACACACGAGGACATCTTATGTGAGCAAGGGACTTAAAGGTATATCTCCATTCATGCTTGTTCACTCGAATGGATGGACAAGCCATGTGGTGTCGGTTAGTGGTGCAAGGTATTTTGTGACCTTTATTGTCATGGGTCTATTTGATGCATCACAAAGATGAAACTTTCCATGCTTCAAGAATTTCTATGCCTATGTGAAAAATCACTACAATGTTCAGGTACAAATGACAAGAACTGATAATGGCACTGAGTATGTGAACAAAGCGTTTGGGACTTTCTTATCAGAGCAAGAGATTTTGCGTCAAACCTCATGTCTGGACACTTCTCAGAATGGAGAATGGAGTGGCTGAAAGGAAGAACTGATACATTCTGGGGGTTGCTCGATCACTGATGCTTACTATGAATGTGCTGAAAGTCTAGTGATTGGATCCCTGACAAACCAACATATTCTTGTGGAGTGAAGTTGTGATGGCTGCAACATACCTGATCAATCGCACATCATCGAGAGTACTAGGTATAAAGTCACCTTCTGAGTTGCTTCTGGGAAACAATGATTTTGTGGTTCCTACCAAGCTGTTCGGTTGTGTCTGCTTTGTCGGGGATCACAGGCCATCTGCGGGCAAATTAGATCCACGGGCCGTCAAGTGAATCTTCATTGGGTATTCTTATGGGCAGTGAGGCTACAAGTGTTGGGAGTCCTTTTGAACAGAGGACCTTTGTGAGCATGGATGTCACCTTCATGGAATCCGAACCATTTTATGGTGAGAAAATTGATCTTAGTGGATTATTTGAAAGTCTTGATCATACCCAGTCTACTGTGATAGGTCAAGAGGGGGAGAGTGGTAGTTGCGATGGTGCCAATTTAGTGTTACGGCACACAGTTGAGGATGTTATTCCGGTATAGCGAAGCGTGCAGCAGCCTCAGAAACAGATAATACCACCGAGTGAAGGACCGATTGTGGCTGATGGGGTGCCGAGCCAGGCAGACGGTGCTCCTACCAGACTGGTAGTGTACCGAGGTGGACGGCAGAGCAAGAGCAACAACTAAAGGTGTATTCACGGAAGCGAGGTGATGGCGTTGCACATCAGGAGGAGCAACTAGATCAGCCACTGACTGAACAACAGGTTAGTACTTACGTGATTTCCATCTCTGATGGGGATCAGGCTGAAGGATCGATTGATTGGCCAATTGCTCCGAGGAGAACTACTCGAGCAAAAGCAGGCATACCAGAAAAACAATCTGGGTTCGATGTCAATGATTTCGGGAATTATGTCTCCTATGAAGCATTATCTCCAGCCTACAAAGTGTTTGTTGCTTCTCTTAGTCTATGTCAATTCCGACCGACTTGAAGGCAATGGAGGCCTCAAAATGGCGTATGGCCATGGTGGAGTTGGAGGCTTTGTGTAAGAACAAGACATGGGTACTGGCACCTCTTCCATCAGGAAAGAAGACAGTCAACTGCAATTGGGTATACATTGTGAAACAAAATGCAGAAGGGAAGATTGAAAGGTCTTTTAGATCCTTTAGATCACTACTCCCTCTGTAAACTTTTATAAGATCTTTTCGATCACTACTCCCTAACTTTTATAAGATCTTTTAGATCACTACTTTAGTGATCTAAATGATCTTATAAAGGCTTACAGAGGTGGTGAGGGGGTACAACCAGACCTACGGCATTGACTATGATGAGACCTTTGCTCCAGTAGCGAATACTGTATGGATTCTGATCTCCTGTGCAGCAAATTTCAGGTGGTCTTTACATCAACTTGATGTGAAGAATGCTTTCTTGCGTGGGGACTTGCAAGAGTAGGTCTACATGGAGATCCCACCAGGTTTCTTGACTTCTGAGACTGCTGGCAAGGTATGCAGGTTAAAGAACGCCCTTTACAGACTGAAGCAGTCTCCAAGAGCTTGGTTTGACAAGTTCAGACAGGCGGTGTGTGACATGTGGTATGAACAATGCAATCGTGACCATACACTGTTTTATACAGTCTGAAGGGGAAAATACCATTCTTGCAGTTTATGCAGATGGTATCATTATAATCTGAGATGATGGCGTAGAGATAGCAAGGTTAAAGAGGTGCTTGAGTAAGGCCTTTGAAGTTAAGGATCTTGGTCGACTCAAGTACTTCGTTGGTATAGAACTGGCCAGCTCTTTCTCAAAGAAAGTATACCTTGGACCTTCTCTGTGATGTTGGCAACTTCGGATGTTGGGTTGTCAAGCAGCTTCAACCCCAATTGAACAAAACCATAAAGGTGATCTGGTGGATAAAGAAAAATATCAACAATTGGTGCGAACATTGTTGTACTTGTGTCATTTGCAGTAAGTGTTGTGAGCAGATACATGCATGAGCCTGGAAGTGAACATCTTGAGGACTGTTGAGATACTTGAAAGGTACTCCTGGGAAAGGACTGTTGTTCAAGAGTCATGGACACCTTGTTGTAGATGGTTATTGTGATGTTGATTGGGCTAGCTACCTGGATGGCAGGAGATCAACTTCAGGCCATTGTGTTTTTGTAGGAGGAAATCTAGTGTCTTGGAGAAGCAAGAAACAACCTCTTATTTCCAAATCAACTGCAGAGGCTGAATAGAGCCATGTCTCAGGGACTGAGTGAGTTGTTATGGACAAGGAATCTATTAGAAGAGCAGAAGATATTGAAGACTAGTTGCATGAATGTATGGTGTGACAACAAGTCGGCAATTAATATAGCAAACAACCCAGTTCAACATGACAGAACCAAACATGTGGGGATAGACAGATTCTTTATCAAAGAACAGCTGGACGTTGGGATTATCGAGATAGAGTATGTGAGTTCAAGGCAACAAATTGCAGATTGCTTGCTTGACTAAAGGACTGGAACCAGAGAATGCAACTTAGTGTGTGACAAGATAGGAATGGTAGATAGATATCACCCCTCTTGATGGGGAGTGTTGTATAAGAGCCCAAGTACTGCTGGACCATAAGGCCCAGGCCCATGTGGGTGCTGACCCATAGGAGGAGCACGACGCTATCTGGACAACAGCGCCGCCACAACACACATTGACCAGGTTTGGGATCCTTCGTCTGCTCCACAAGAACTTCATAGTAAATGCAAGAGAGTTTTCTTTCAAAGATATGTTCTAAAAAGATGGAGGAAAGGTTACAACATAAATTGCAGATGTGTCACTTTCATCAAGAATAATAAGGTAAAAAGGCCTGGATGTTGCCGAATGGTATTAGCACCGTAATAGTACTAACCTGATCATCAAGAAAGTCAGTACACTTGTAGCAAACTCGCATCCCATTAGATAGTATCATCTCAGTGGCACCTATGCCTGGGTGCTCCACTTTATCAACAATAATTCTGTGATGAAATTTGGCAAGTACAACAGTAAGAATGTGCGGAATACTAAGATGCTTCTGTGGGCAGATAAATGCACACAAATTATTCAAATAATCACTTAAAAAGACGGTTCATCATGAGCAAAAGATCAATTCCATTTGTATAATAAGAAAATGATAATGCCATAATACCCTGGCACTGGACTTTGGCTAACAATTTCTTCAGGGATTTGCTCTTCCTCCCAGGGAGGAATACTCCTCTTTTCTTCTAGAGTGTTAACTTTCAATACAACAGCTTTCAGATCCTCCAGAGAAGCATGGGCCCGGGGCTCAACTATCTTGATAACACAGCTACTGGTTGTTGAAAAATTTTCCGCAAACTTCACCACTTCAGCAGAAGAAATGTCTGGTTGAAGTAAAGATAGAGACAGAGACAATTTTGAAGAAAAAAATGTCAGAATAACACTGTAAACTGAAAAGCAATGAATTCATTGAAAAGAAAATTGAATAGCATAACAAAGCCTAAAAATGAACTCTTACACTAGGTAGCACGCGAGTGTACTTACATGGAAGAAGAGTCTTCTGCAACCGTGCTTCATATTCAATCCCGACAACAGGCTCCTCGCGAAGAAAATGCTGCAATGGGTGAAGGAAATGCCACTAGTATGCTTAGCAAATTGATGATGGGGATCATGTGACTCAACTGATATATTAAGCAAACCTGTAGTTTGTAATCATATTACTAGAACAATTGATCGCAGAAGTACCAGGGAAAAAATACAGGAGCTGAGATAATATTAACTACATTAAGGTCTGAAGAATAAATTCATAAAACACATGGCACTTGACCGAACCTAGTTAATAGTTCGGTTCCTAAACATGCAATGAAGTAAATTCTACAAAACCTAAACTGGAGAAATGTTAAGAGACAGAATTATGAGAACCTGCAGATACTCATCACGTAAGCTGGTTGATTGCATTTGATCACGCTCCAGATATGCAGACTCGATCTCTGACATCATTAAAGCACGCACAATGGATATCTCACGTTCAGAAAATCCATAGAGCCGTGCCCTAGCAACCTTCAGAAAAGATATTGTAAAAGGGATCACTTTGATGTCAAACATCTCAAGATTAGATAAACCACATTCTTTCAAGAAACCACATTCATTGGCTCACTGGAACTTCCCATGATATTTTGTTATTCTAACCAGTTGGTTGACCATTAGATTTTTGTTAATGCAGGGTGCCATGGCAAGAAATCTATCTCCGTTTAATACCTCCACTAGCATAGACTCAAGAGCCTCAACCGTGCCTTTTTCGCGACAACTGGATGTCATAATATATGCCTTCACCGGACGGACAAGAGCATCTGCAGCTGAAGAGCAAGAGAAGTATGGAGGATCCCTCCTACGAGATAGTTTGAAGAGCCTCTGGTTCAGAGCACAATGGAAAATTGATTCTGCCAATGAGTCCCTATAATCCTTGACTGTTTTAATTTCACCGGCAGGCATCTTGCAGCTAATAACAACAGCTGACTGTTTTTGGTACAAGAAAACAGATAAAAGGTGTCTCATTAGAAACATCACAGTTAGACAGAAAATATATCCCAGATTATAAAGTACTGACCCCTGCAGCTTCGGATTCCACAAAGCATGAAAATCGAGGTTCAATATGCGATGGAACTGGAAACTCCGGTATAACCAGTGGAGGGCAGGAAATTGAGGCTTTCTGACCAAAATGCTCCTTTATTAACTCAACAACAGCCTGCAGTTATCAAGAGTTACACACAAAAATGGCAGTAATATTATGGATAAATGGATTTCAAATATGCCAACGGGAGCAAATACAGACCTGTGTATCTGGGAAGTCTCCCACTGCAAAGACAGCCATATTGCTTAGATTGTACCACTTATGATAAAAATTTCTAACTGCCTCATGTGTAACAGTCCGTATCACCTTCTCTGTACCTATCGGCAAACATTCTGCATACTGAACAGAAGGACATTAACAAATCATACCATTTACAAAGGTCTATAGTTGTAAATACAACACCATTGAATCCCATTAGGAAAACACAATGCGCCACAGAGCACAGACCCTACCCTTCATAGAAGAGGTTCGCTACTTAAACTGAAACCCACAAACGGCTCTTGCACATCGATGTGATGGAACAAGTGATTATTGTAGATTTCCCGTTTATAGCAGGACAGAGAGCAATACCTTAGAACCCTCAAACAACAATGTCCAGTGGGAGTCCTGCATCCGCCCAGTGGCGTTGCGCCCGCCCCTGTATTCCTCCAGCACAGCACCCCTTTCTTTCTCCAGATCCTCCGCTGAAACCCGAACCTTCTCCACAACATTTAAGAGCATCAGCCAACTACACACTAGTTAATGGCAGTGGATGGAAGGCCGAAACCCCATTATTACCTCGGAGCTGAACTCTGCGAGGACGGAGATTGCCTGGGAGAGCAGTCCGGGCTTGTCCACAGGCACGAGCAGCTCATAGATGGTTTCGTCAGAGGAAGTGAGAGCGTTCTGGCAGGCGCCAAACTCTGCGCCAATGCTCTCGAGGAACCTAACGATGTCGTGATTGGTGTAGCGTGACGTTGCGCTGAAGGCGAGGTGCTCGACGATATGCGCCACCCCGCGCTCGTCCTCCTCCTCCACCACCGACCTGCGCGCGCGAATCAAATCCAGACACATACAGATATACCCCCAAAACAAACGAACTAAGGGAACGGAGGAGCAGGTCGAGCGAAAGGGAGGCACGCTAGAGAGTGAGTACTGACCCGACCTTGACGGCGAGGGAGAGGGCTGCGCGCATGCGGGGCTTGGGGTTGGAGCGGACGTAGTAGGTGAGTCCGTTGGTGAGGCGGCCGTAGGCGACGCCGACGGGCTCGGCTGGGAGGGCCTCTTCCATGGACACGTTCACCAGCTTGAGCGACGGGAACCCGACCCCGCGTCGCAGCCCTCGGCCCCCAACTGCGCCGCCACCGGCCGGCGCCTCTGACGCCGGCGGTAGTAGATCCATGGCAGCTGCTGGTACTGCGCGGCGAGAGCGAGAGAGGGAGCAGGGATCGGATGGGACGGGTACGTCGGGGTCGGGCTAGGGATGTGCGTGCAATGAGATACGTGGCAGACCTGCCGTACACCCTGCGGTGACGTCGGATCACTTTTTTACTAGGACAGTTCGGCCACCGCATGGCCGAAAACGCTTCCTCCGTAGCCAGTACTTGTTAGGGCATGTACAACGATGGCATATGGATACATATGCCCCATGACAAAAAGTAATTTGAGGCATCTACATTTATTTTTTCTCCCCAATGCAAGCTACCACTAGTGGGCCTCATTAAAAAAATAGAAAATAAAGATTTTAGTATACATGCATCTCTACTTTTCACTCCAACCTTTTCAGCTTTTGTCATCGGACCACACTTTTTCTCTTTAAGCACCCGCCTCGTGGAGAGGATCCCGCTTCCCTATCCGAACCTACTTTACGTCATATCCGATCCTACATGGCATGCGATGCATCACCTTAAGGCTATGCATTGTACATTGCCCTTAGATACTTAGGGCATGAGCAATGGTAGCACTAGAATGGTGTGGTTTCAAGTTGTTCACATAGTTGAAGTTAAATGAAGCTATTGGTTTGTACCACACTCGTCCAATGCAAGCTACTCCCTGTGATATCATCATATTTTGCTCCTTTTGTCTTTACGCTCTCTTCCAGCACCTGCCACCTCCCCTCCCTGTGAGAAATCCTTCTCTCTCTTACCTTTTTCAGCCGGGGATGCAGCCTCCTCTGCAGGATCCCACTTTGGTTTTGAGGCTATAGCTTTTATGCCAACGCATCATCCGAGCCGAGTTGGCACATGGGGCATCACCCTTGAGGCAGCGCATTGGCCATGCCCTTATAAAACTGAGCACCTTTCCGACCCTCTCACATCATTAGCCTCGGGCTAGCCTTCTCGTGCATCGTTGTGGTAGCCATCGTCCAGCCGCCTCGTGCTCTCAACGTCCTCGGCGCACAACAGCCTTCCTCGGCGGCTTGGGCCTGAGGCCAGCGGGGAGGACCTAACTTTGATCTGCGCGGACAACCCCTGTCAGTGCCGCACCGGTTCCGATGCACGGCGGCGATGCGGCAGGGCTGTGTGGGAAGGGGGGCTGGGGGCGCCGAGATCCAACGCCGCGCTCCCCCTCTCGCTCTTTGGCAATCAAGGGTCGGTCGCGGATGTGGGGCGGCGGCGGCGCGTGGTCAGGCGGGGCGGGCTGTGGCATGAGGCGGAGATGGGATTGGGAGGCAACCAGGCAGGGCCATGCGGGTGCCAGTTTTTTTATTTCACCTTTACCGGTTCGCATTGACATTGACTTATAACATAGACTGCGGGTTTAATAAATAAAACATCAGGGATCTTTGTGTAAAATGGACGCGACGGTGAACCCGGAGACTCAATCTGTGCTTTATTATTAGGGAGAGATTTCGGCCGTCCCTAAACACCCTTGGCAGCAATTAGGGTTAGGTGGATACGAAGGCGTCCACCGATCTCCTTGGCGAGGCGCACTGGTAAGCACGGGGACGATGGCAACATCAGCCGCCGGCAAGGGATGGCAACGCAGTGGCGCTCTCTCGCCGTGCTCAGCACGGGCGCAGATGGAGCAGGCGCTTGGGAAACTCGACATCTCTAAAGAGGAGGCGATGCCGCTGGTGATCGACGACTCCGACGAGGGTGTACCGGAGAAGTGGCTGCTGGCGGAGAAGGTTCTATACCGCAACCTATTCCACATCAACACCATCATTAATGCCCTTCGACCAGCTTGGGTAACCCTAGGGGGCTGGTTTTCAGGCCGCTTGGGGAGAACATGTTTGCTGTTGAGTTTGAGTCCAAGCGGGATCGCGACCGCGTGTGGGAGGGCTCGCCCTGGCACATCAGTAAGCATGATGTGATCCTAGAGGATTTCGAAGCACATATGCAGCCGTCGGAGCTCAAGTTCGACAGGTTGCCAATCTAGATTAGGGTAGTTAACCTGCCCTACAATTTGAGTAACAATAACTAGGGTTTGGCAATTGCCAAACAAGTAGATAAACAAAGCATCCATTATCAAGATCGATCCGGTGGACTAGAGGGGGGGTGAATAGGCAATTTTTACAAATTTGTTCCTGAGGAATTTCTAGGTGAAGAAATTCCTAAGTAACGACATACTAGCAACGGAATAAGTACTCATGTATAAGCATAACAGAGCAATAGCATAGTCATCATGATGAAATGAAAACAAACACAGAGTACAGAAAGCATGATAACAGGATAAGCAGGCTGAAGACTATGTGACTGAAGAAATAGGATTGAGGAAATAGAGAAAGTCTTCAGTCAAAGTCTTCAAACAGTAATGATCAGGTTCATCAACACACGAATGAGGAAATGAAAGGGTTGACGAAATAGAACCAGTTGACTTGGTGAAGACAATGATTTGGTAGACTAGTTTCAACTGCTGTGACAGTTGTACGTCTAGTTGGAGCGGCTGAGTATTTAAACTCGAGGACACACAGTCCCGGACACACAGTCCTCACCGTATTCTCTTTGAGCTAAAGTCACACAGACCTTGCCCAACACTCATGGTAAGTCTTCACAGGTGACTTCCAAACCTTCACAAACTTGGTCACTCGGCGATCCAATTCCTCTTGGATGCTCAGACCATGACGCCTAACTGTCTGGAGGATACACAGTCCTCAAAGGTAACAAGCGTCGGTTCCACACAGGAACAATCTCTTCAGTGATGCTCAATCACTTTGGGTTTGTGGGTGTTTGGGCTTGGGTTTTGAGTTTTCCTCACTTGATGATTTTCGCTCAAAGTCCTCGGAGGATGGGATGCTCTCAATGACAAGTGTCAGTTTCTCTCGGAGCAGCCAACCAGCTAGTAGTTGTAGGGGGGCGGCTATTTATAGCCTAGGGAGCAACCCGACATGATAAGACATAAATGCCCTTCAACGATATGGCCGTTAGGTGGTAGGATATTTTGGACAGCTAGCGCATAGCACAGCAACGGTCGGATTTGAGGTATCAAATTCCTCAGGGCTATCATGTTCCTCACTGTGTAGGCAATCCGCAATGGCGAATTCCTAACTCCTCAGTCAGAACAAATTCCTCAGAGACCAGAATATCTTCGTCTCTATCACTGAAGAAATTGACTGAACTGATATGAGATTTCCAATGGCTTCACTTGAAAGGATTGGGTAGGTGTAGGATTTTGAGATGAGCATCACTTGGAAATCAGTTCCCTTAGTATTACCTCGACCCCCTTTAACAGTATGATGTTTCCTATGACGCAAGAAAGAGAAAATGAAACTACGAAAACAAAAGTCTTCACGCTTCATAATCCTCGCATGAATATCCAAGTCTTGAAGGTCACACCAATTTCTTCACTTTCAAAATCTTCAGCAGAACCAAAGTCTTCAGCTGAAGACATACATTTTTAGGGGTCGACATTCATTGTAAATATCAAACTCCTCATCGACTTATAGAGCATGTGTACACTCACAAACATATTAGTCCTTTAACCTATAAGTCTTCAATACACCAAAATCGCTAAGGGGCACTAGATGCACTTACAATTCAGCAAAGAGGGCCAAAGTGGATTGCTATGACATCGAATATGAACAGATACCCCACTTTTGCTTCTCTTGCGGCAGACTGGGACATTCAGATCTATTTTGTCCTACGCCTGGGAAACGGGATGCGAATGGGGAGCTTCCATTCAGTTCTAGACTATGGGCATCTAATGAGCGGAAGAAAAATGTTTCTGAGGAGAACTTGTCGAAGGAGAAGCAATATACACAACATAGCACAAGGGGGTCACTGTCGGCGAGCTCAAATCAGAAGAATGGGGCTGAGGTAACATCTCCAGTTAAGCAGCAAATTCGGCATAAGCAGAAGGGAGGACCACATAATACTCAAGTTTATCGCAAGGTGGTGCAGACCCCGCTAGCCATCAAGGAGCATGGAGAACCTGTGGCGGATACTGAACTCATGATGGAGAAGGCTGCGTTGGGAGAGAACGAAACTGAAAAGCTAGGTGGTGTCTTTGTTGAAAGAGACCCTAAGAAGAAGAAACCAACACCACCATCATCTGAAACCTCGGCAGTGGCTGCTAGTCAGCCCTGCCCGAGTCAATGAGTGCTCTTAGTTGGAACTGTCGAGGGCTTGGGAACCGTGGGTCAGTTCGGGAGCTTTGTAAGATTGTGAAGTAGGAAGGCCCCTCCCTTTTGTTTGTCATGGAAACTAAAATAAAGGGTAAGCGTGTGGAAGATCTCAAGTTTACTTTAGGCTTTTCCGGTTGTTTTACCGTCGATAGCGACGGGCTTAGTGGAGGTATTGGCCTTTTCTGGTCAAAGGATGTTGATGTTACTTTGGAAAACTATAGTAAGTCTCATATTGATGTGAAAGTCGATCATAATAATAAAAGTTGGCATTTTCACGGGGTTCTACCGGGAGCCAAGGGTGGAAAATAGACACCACAGTTGGCGTTTTTTGCGTACTTTGTTTGCTATTCAGCATGAAGCATGGATGTGCATGGGAGATTTCAATGAAACATTGCATACCGAAGAGCATTTTTGATAGAGGCAAAGGTGTCCCATCTTACGATGAGATGGTGATTATCGTTTCGGAGGAGTAGACTTTGACGATCCGACTACGTACGTCCGAGGACGTCGCCCCTTAGCAATCGCTAAACCAACTCCGAGAGGTTATTGACCACGCTGGAGCACGATCAACCTGACCACGAGGGTCTATTTCCTGCGAGCAAACGAAGAACAAGCAAGAAACTGAGATTGCAATCTGGATATTGCGAATATAAGATGAAAGCTTTATTGATCAAGATGGGGTTCTGTGACATCTTGGTCTGGTCATTGAACACAAACGAAGTACACGAAGTTGCAGCTATGGCGAACTTTTAATCTAAACAAAACCCAAAGTCTAAACGGTGCCCTAAGGGCTGTATATATGGAGGAAGAGGGGGGGAATTTCGTGTCCCTTGGTG